GCTGCCCCTTGGCCCCCCCCTAGTCTGGCCCTCTGGCCCTAGTCTTGGCCCCCAGGCACTGACCACCCCCGTCTCTTCCAGCAGCCCCTGGCCAGGAGCCCCATGGGGGCAGAAACAGCAGGAAGCAGCAGACGGAGCCATCCCTGAGCCTGGCCTGCCCCCCTTCAGTGTCCCCCCCAGCGGGGCTCTCAGGCCCACTGTGCTATAAATTTGCCCAATGGAGACATGCCTGCGTGTGACTGTGGGCGCTTGCCCTTTAATGCCCTGGAGGTGTGGGGGGCAGAGGCCCTGGGGGCCCATGGGGGTTGGTACCCCCTGGAGCTGCCGCAGCCTCCAGGGGGGTGCTGGGAGGTCTGAGCCTAGGGCGGTGCGGGCGCTGGGGGGGGCCCGTGTGCATCGTAGTGGCGCCGCAGGTCAACTTTGCGCTGGAAGCTCTGGGGGCAGCGCGGGCAGGCAAAGGGGCGGTGGCCACGATGCCGGCGGCTGTGGGTCAGCAGGTTGGAGCTCTGGCTGAAGGCCCGGCCACAGACCCCGCAGCGGTGCGGCTTCTCGCCTGCAGGTAGTAGGGGGTCAGGGGGCAGCGTGGCCCTTGCTCCTGCCCCGTGCCTTGCCCGTGCCCCTCACTCCTGACCTGCAGCCTTCCCACTGCCCCACGGTGCCTCTCCTTCCCACCCCAGTGCCCCCCACTCCCAATCCGCAGCCCCCGCACCAGTGTGAATGAACGTGTGCTTCTTCATGTCGGACTTCTGGTGGAAGCGCTTCCCGCAGAAGGGGCAGGGGAAGGGCCGTGTGTCCGAATGGATCAGCAGGTGCGTGGACAGCGTGGACGAGCGCCGGAACCGCTTCCCGCACACGCTGCACGGGAAGCTCCGCTCCTGGGGGGCAGGTGTCAGCTAGGACCCCCAACCCTGCCAGTGCTCCTCACTCCCGACCCACAGCCCCTGCCTCCCCTCTCTGGCCCTAGTGGTACCCCTCACTCCTGACCCACAGCCCCTGCCCCTCCAACCCTGCCAGGCCACGGTATCCCAATACCTTCATTTCCCTGAGGTTCTCCCCGTCCTCAGCCAGTCCCCCCACCTTCCGCTGTCCCCAGAGCTGCCCCTGCCCCACACACCTGTGTCTTTCCTGCACCTGCTGCGGGGGCTCCCTCTGGCCTCAGCACCGTTCCTTCATGGGGCTCCCAGGGGGCGCCTGCCCCACAGCTCAGCTGCAGGCCCTGGGAAGGGGAGGAGCTTGGGGGGGGCTCTGTGCCACTACCCCTTCCTTCAGCCCAGGCCCCTCACTCCCTGTTGTCAGCACACCTCAGCGGGTGCCCAGGCACTACTTTAATGCACCTAATATTACACAGTTCCCTCAGCATCATAGGGCCTTGGGCTGTGATTGGGGCACTACCATAGTACACGTAGTAATGTGCAGCAGCAACAAGTGCTACAGGACAGAGTGCTCAGGAGCTACCTTTAGTACCTGACAAATGTGCAATGCCCAGCACCAAGGAGGGGGTGGGGCAGGGGAGGATCTCCCCCAGGTGCTACTGTATTGTATCTAATAAAGTGCGGCACTCAGCGCCAGAGAACCAGTGGGCCCAGGAGTTACCGTAATACACCTAATAATGTGCAGTACTCAGGACAGGGTCGCTTGGGCACTACTGTGATGTTCCTAGTCATGCATCCTGTGGTTGGGAGACAAAGGGTCTTACCTTGTCGCAGCCATTGCAGCAGCTGGGGGGCTTGGCGAGGAGCAGGAGGGAGCCCAGGAGGCCAGGGGGTGCTGTATCCACCCTGTCTGGCCTTGGTCCTGTTCCCAGGCTCAGCGATGGGGGCAGGATGCCTTGGACCAGCGGCTGCAGCTCGGGCCCAGGGCAGCTGCTCCAGAGTGTTGCAGCTGGGGGGGTGCTCAGGCCTGTGGGGTGGTGGGGAGCTGTGAATGGGAGGTTGGGGCTGTTTCCCCACCACCCAAAGAGGCCCTGATCCTGGGGAGCATAGGCTGCACAGCCCTTTGCCCCCCTCCCCCAGCCCTGCTGGTGCCCCTCACTCTCAACCTGCAGCTCCCAGGGGGAGGGGGCTAATCAGGCCAAATCTGGGGGTGAGGGTGGGGCAACAGGGATGGGGGGCAACCCCCCTTGGGGCCTTGACCTGGGGCCACAGAATGGGGTAGGGGTTAGGAATGGAGAGGGGTGGGGGGACTTTGATTTGGGGGCATAGGGGGGCATAGGACAAGGGCCCCTATCCCAGAGTGGGGGTCCCTGATCCTGTCCTCCTCCACCTGGCACTGCCAGCCTTGCTCCAGGTGCAGTGGGGTGGGAGGGAGTGGTAGGCAGATGCTGCAGGCTGAGAGGAGTTGGGGGTGGTCTCTGCCCATAGGTGGGGGAGTTACCTGGCAGGGGCAGGCAGGCCCAGTGTGGGGAGAGCTCCAGCTGCTGGGGGGGGTGCTGCCCCTGGCCCCCCCTGCTCCCGCTTGATGTCTCTGGCCTGGGGAGAGGCTCTGCTGTGCAGGGTCCGGGCACTGGGGCTGGGGTGGGGGCACAGTGTTGAGGACCCGCAGGCTGCCACCTCCTCCCCCTCCCGACACAGTTCCTGGGGGACAAATGCCTACTCCTCACCAGGTCCAACCCTCCCCGAGGCTCCTGCTCCTGCCCCCACCCCTACTCCCTGGTTCCCCCTGCACCTTGCTGATGACCCATTCCCAACCTGCAGCCCCCTCCCACCACCCTGCTGGTGCCCCTCACTCCCAACCTGCAGGTCCTGCCACCTCAGCCTTGCCAAGCCCCTACCCCACCCACCCTTGGCTGGCGTTCAGTCACTCCAGACCTGCAGCCACTGCTCACCCAGGGGGTACTTTCTGCTCTGCACTCACCCCTGGGCTTCTCCAGCCGTTGCCCCCCATGGCTTGGGCCCCTCTTGCTTCTCACCAGGAAGGAGCGCGGCATCACGGCTGCAGGGATTGGGGGGTGGGGTGCGGTTTGCACCAAATTTGAGGGGGGGGGTCACTGAGACCCTCCCCCAGTTCTGGGCAGAGCTGAGCTGAGACCTCCCCCCAACGTAGAGCCAGGGGTTTGCTATGGCTCTGGAAAGAGAGCAGGGTTGTGGGGGTGGGGGTGGAGCGGGGGGTGCTGGGAGCCTGGACACCTGGGTTCCATCCCAGGCCTGGGACAGGAGTTGGTGGGGGAAGGATGGGGGCCTTAGAGCTGAGAGCAGGACCCGTGGCTTCATCAGGGGAGGCAGGAAGGGGGCAAGAGGTTCTCCCCCCCGCCCCCTGAACCAGCTACATGACACTGGTACTGGTCTTAGACCCGATCTGTGCCTCAGTTTCCCCATCTGGGCACTCAGGGCTGTGGGCTTTGTTGGGTAAGAACCCAACTCCACTCAACACCGCATCCTCCCACTCCTTACCCTCCCCATGTAAGAGACCCTGGGGTGAGGCTGAGGACTGCCACCCATGCTGCCCCATTTCAGCCCAAGTGTGCCCCCTGGCAAGTTGAGTTTGTATCTTCCCCCCTGCCCTCCCAGTGACACCTGGCTAAGGGAGATGGACAGACACCTTCCCCCCACAGCATGGTGCAGTTGGTCCACAGGTGTCCTGCTCCCCCTAACCTCCAATGTGGGGCCCCTGGACTGAGGCTGTTACCCTCAGAGGGAGCCTGGCCTATGGCAGTCAAATGTGGGATGCTGATTTACACCCAGGGAGTGCTGGCTCC